AAATAACGATGATGATGAAAGTAATTTAGAGGATGTTGATGATAGTGAAAATATTTCTTTAGATTCTTCTGTAGATACAATTTTAGATAATCTTTTATCATTGTTTAACACTTCATAAGTTTATTATTATTTCATTAAAAACATTCGTCAAATTTTACAAATACAAAAATAAATTTTTTAAACTTTAAATTTGTTAATGATCGTCATTTTTAAAATTGACCAATCACAGAGAAAGCCCGCTATGCTACTATTGTAACAAAACTTAAAAGAGAAAACGAATTATTAAAATCAAAGCTTGATGATATTTCTAGTAAGTTTAGTCTTGCTCCTTTTTTGTCAATTCAAACTGAACTTATATGTTTTTATTTCTGAATAAGATATAAAAAGCGGAAGGACCAATTCCATTAGTATAAATAATAATCCCCTTGATAAAAACGTTGATTTTGTCTATTCTTTAGCTGGTAACTACTTTAATCTACACAATCATAATTATACATAATACAAATAGAAAAATCATTTTGACCATAATGTTTAGACTATCAATACTAATTTTGATTTCACATATAAATATAATGGCTGAAACTAACTAAATTCTTTATTCTAGAATTTTCACAAAGACTGGAAAAATTGGAAACCGAATTTAAAAAAAGTCAATCTATATCTATATCAAGCCTTGGAATTCAACATATGAACAAGATCAAAGATACCCTAAAACTCAAATTTATAGTAATGGATTGCTCTTTTCTAAAAAGCAATATAAGTGAAATTAATTCTTTCAGTTGGAACTATAACATGACCGAGGTTAAACAACAGGATAAATACACAGCATATTTGCATCAGATAATAACTTTGCCATTGGATTTTGAGTGGTATGATGCTAGAACTAATATAAAATTTCTCAATGCAGTGGATCAACCATGGCTACCTTTTAATTTGAAAGGTACAACCGATATTGCAATTCTTGATAAAGGGTATTCAGTTGCTTATGGTCAAGAAGCTTCTGGAATCAGAGTAACTATAGAATTAAAAAAGAAAGAACAAGTGAAACAGAATGCAAGATTTCAAACACAAGCTCAGCTCCTCATAGCTAACCATTATTCTAATAACAATATATTATCACTCTTAACTGATCTCAATGATTATTGGGAGTTTTTCTGGGAATATGACACTGAAATATGTTTTTGCCGACCAACTTCTAGAGAACTTGCTGTCAAAATGCTGCAAGATTATGTAAATGCAGAAAGTAATTACAGCAATGTACCTTTAGGAAGTGAGTTTAATGTCAATGAAAATGATTATCCACTTTCAAAGAGAAGAAAGTTGAAGTCCTAGTGTTACAATCTATAATTTTTTAATAAAACTAAAAAGTATTTTATTTGAGTAATGTTTGTTGCAATTTTTTACATTGTATTATTTATTTTGAGTAAATTTTTCTCCTTGGGTTCCATAGTAGATCTGATGTAAATGAGTTTCATATTAACTATTTTTGTCTAGACAAATATCATGATCACATTACATTGTAATACAATTGTGATGTTAAACAAACAATATTGATCCCTGAAATTCTTGGTAATACCAATGTTCACTTTGTCTGGTTTTGTTGCAGCATGCCCCATATATAATAAGTAATATATTTTAGTATATTTATAATTATTGACAATTTTAGTTAAAAGCAAATAGTAAAATGGATATTTGTGTAAATGAATGCTTTGGGATTACAAAAGATCCAGCACAAATGAGTATATGTTGGTATTTAGTTACGCTAAAAAATGGAGACTTGCATAATAATTTATAAAAAAATTTCACGGAAATTACTTGGAAAAATAAAATAAAATAAAATAACTATACATTTTATTATTATTATTATTATTATTATAAATTAGTTTAAGGAGAATTCATGAAATGAATTATATTCATCATGACTTGCACAGTGGTAATATCTTTTCATATTCTAATTGTTCTAGCAAAATAGGAGATTTAGGATAATGTCAACAATTAATGAATAAAAAAGAGAATCCAAATGAGATTTTTGGGGTTATTCCATACCGGCACCTGAAGTATTATCAGATAAACAATATACAAAAGAATCAGACATTTGTGGTTTTGGGGATTATGTGGGAACATACCACAGGTAAAAAACCTTTTTATAATGTGCCACATGATCATCATTAAATCAAAAAATTATAAACATCATTTAGATGCATTCTATACAAGCCGTCCGCTTAGTAAATCAATTGAGCAGGCAAATTTGCAAAATAAATTGGGTCAACAATTTACTGTATCATCAAGTGTAAAAATTCAATCAAATACTTTATTTAGAAAGTGATGCTTCAGTATTTATGCCAATACATTTAAAAAATAATGGTGGTTATGATAATGTTAGGGATGATGATATTGGAAGATGTGGTAATGACAAAAAGAGGCAATTAAAAAAATTAAAAAATATATTTAAAAAAATGGATTTTATTATTTATTTATAAATTTTTTTCATTGCCAAATTCTCGAAGATAAAAAACTTTAGTTCAAAAATGCTTTAAGATATGATCAAAAGTAGCGTATACCTTAAAATAACTTATTAATATTAATGAGTTTAATAAATTCACTATCATTAGATTTATAATAAATAAAAATAGTAATTGATATTAATCTAGAATCCAGTAGTGGTAGTATAAAAATAATAGAAGAGGAAACGGAAAATCTGCTTTAGTTGATGTAACATTAATTAGAAACGCTAATGTTTGAGAAGTTCTTTATAAATCAGTAGAAGCTTCTCATTCGATTAAAAATGGTTTAATATGTAATAATGTAAAGTTTATCAAAGTTGTAATTGGTATTCTATTGTACGAATCGATTTCCTGAATTTGAAGTTGTTGACAAGTGTGAAAATGAAAATTTTGCAAGCACAAACAAAATAATTTCATTTCATTTAAATACTTGTAGCCTAGATTAGCTTGATAAAGGAAAAAAAATGGAGAAAACAACAAGATGACGAAGAAGCAGAAAAACATTTAAAAAAACTTGGATGATTAGATTTTATTAATATGTATATTAGTGTATCTGCCTCCCACTAAAATTCAATGTGACATCATCATTTTCAACAATGTAAAAAAGAATTCCAAATCCACAAATCTAATAAGAATTAATCACTGAATCAATGATAAAACATGTACGCAGTTCGCTGGACGCCATGAATAACAAATAAAGCCTTATTTGTAAATATGTAAATTGATTAACTCAAAAGTACTATATTAAGCTTTCCATTGTTATAATAAACTTACCGTTAAGATAATTTTGTGATCTTCTCTCGTGATGTTGAGGTTGTTTGTTAAGATCATTTGTATAGACTGAAGCCAAACATCTTTGACGCTCCTATTATTTGACACAAAAATTAGGTTGTTAGGTAAAACTAATCTACTAATTATTATTAATATACCTATCTTCAATTAAATCATAAATTTGTGATAGCCACGAGTCATATCGGCAATATTGATTATTGCTAACTCTCATTATCGTGCTATCTTGAACATTTACATAAGACAAGATAACGTTTAAATATTTTCACGATTAGTTGGACTTATGAAATTAATGACTTCTTTAATACGTTTCTTTTGGGTATTATTGTCATTGTTGTAAATGTAATTGGAGATTCTTGATTGTTTTTTCTTGCAATCGTTGCTTATTCTCTTCAATATTTCCTTCGCTTGATCATTCTGACTCCTGATTAAATTAATAAGTTTTTTCTAATAAACCGATTTCTGAATATTGATCATGTCTGACGTTCATTCATTTGGATTTATTCAATAAAACATTGTTCACCTAAAATGCCTCTGACTCTGGGTCAAGGTATATATAAATATTGAAGTCTAGCATTAATTTTAATATCGTAAGGTTTTTTTTTCAAATGATTATCTGGTGTTACAAAAAAATAAAAAATAATAGTAATCAAATAATGAATGCAGTTTCGTTTATATTAATATGCAATATTAATTAATAACACATAAAAAAAAATAATTTTTTTAAATAAATGACTCGTTTTTCTTTTTCAATTTTTTATTCTCTAAATAAATGCAGAATTTCTCTAATTTATATCAAAGACACATATAATACTTAGGAATTTCTCGATGGAATTTTCAAACGAGGTTTTGGCTATACTTCCTGATAATATTTCTATAATTTCATCAGAGGATTTAAACGTCTTTAGAGAAACCAGGTATAAAAATAATCTTGATAATAATATTGATATTTGGTATTGATATATTGAATCAATTGAAATTGATTAATTTGATTAAAAGCAAACAAGAAGGTCTCTGCAAGATCATTGATACAATGGGTAAAGCATCAGCAAAGGTAATTAATTAGTTGTTATCACTATAAATTATAATTGTTAGTTTTGATATAAAAATAATTTTATTTTGTAGGCACAAGATCTTAAAATTGTTATAACTACTACTAATAAAATGAAAGAACATTTGCATAATCTTTACATAATGAAAAACCCAAATAATACTCATGTAGTCGGAATTCTAAAAGTTGGAGTTAAAAAATTATTTATTGTGGTAGATAAATTTAATTAACACATATAATTATTATCCGAGTATAATCATCTTAATTATCTTGTATATGTGTGTTAAATTTTTTTAATTTCGTAAAGGATAAAGTAGGAAATCAGCATGAGATAGAGCCATTATGTGTCCTTGATTTCTATATACACGAGAGTTATCAAAGATCAGGATATGGTAAACAAATATTTGAATTCATGTTAAAGAGTGAGGACGTCTCACCAAGTAAATTAGCGTATGATAGGCCATCAGAAAAATTTCGCTCATTTCTTAAAAAACATTATAATTTAATTAATTTTATTCCACAACCCAATAGTTTTGTAGTCTTTGATCAATATGGATTATCAGGTTTGATTTACATACATTGTTGATCTATATATATATTATATAAAAAAATACAAATTTAAAAATTGATTTTTTTTAATTTTTTGTAGATTCAATTAAAACAAATTCAAATAATTATAGATTTGATAAAAGGCCAAATACACGTAGTAGGATGCAACATAATAGATCTATGAGTGATTGTGGTAGAATAGATAAAAATAGTGTCGTTGTGGAAAATGAAAGAATTGTTGGACATAGATATACAAGATCTCTCACTTCAAATCGTCACTCCTATATTTCCTCTGATTATAATAGTGACAGTGGTGGTGGCAGCAATACTTCGAAATCAGATAAAAATAAATTTTTATCAGTCACAGCAGCTGAACATTCAACAATTCCAAATGAATTATATGCAGAAAGAAAACGTGAAATTATAAATAATCATAAAGAAAATTTTAAGAAATCATTGTATGGTAACAATCCAATTTCATGGAACAATGAGTAACAACAAATAACAATAATTAACAAATAGATAATAATATTTATATATGCGTACATATATGATAATGTGATAAAAATATTTAAGAATTCAGTTAAAATTATTTTCTAGATAAATAAAAAAATAGAAAATTAAAATCCTTTTTTTAATTTATTAAAACTTGCGATTCATTGTAACCTAGTTTCTTCAATAGTCCACCAATAGCACCTCGAGAGAAACCTCTTATGTATCTAACAAGTAAATCTGTTATGTTAAATCGGAAAGAACAATCAAACTATATCATTGTGCTATGCACACACTCTATGTTGAAGGTCCAATATTTGTTCATCATACCAATTAATTTTTCTGATCTTGCTCTCGATTTATCTGATGGGTCGTTAGAGCGTGGTTTTTTGTTTGTTACTTCTTCCTGATCACTTGGTGTCTGTTGTCTTTTGTTTGGTGATGACGATTGTTTTTTTTATCAATTATTTGCTGCTCAAATTAAAAAAATTATTATATGAAGTTGCAAATATAACAATCTTTTTTTGGCCGTACATTCCAAAGCATCTAACGACATTAAAAGGTTCGATTGTTCATATTGCACTTTGAGCACCAATTGTTTTTATTTCCAATGTTGTACTTTGAGCAATTGGATATCACAATTCCATAAAATTAATATCTCCTCAAACATCATCCTCATCCCTTTATAGTCTCTTACTCAGTCCTTCAGAGATGTGTGCAAGGTTTTTTATTCCAAAGAAATAAATCAATTTGACAGCACAGATATAAATCGAAAATCACTTACCTACAAACAAAAGGCCACAATACCAAAAGAAAATAAGAGAGTTTTTTTGATTTGGAAACAAATGGAAAATATCTACTGGTATCGTGGCCTCAGTTTTGCTAACTGAATCACATATATTGATAAATATACACTCCATATCACTGGTAAAGTTATCCCAAATGGATCTTGTTGGACTGGTCATCCAATTTCAAGCCAATGTAATGATAGCAAAAAAATTATTCCTTGTATTGGACAAAAGTATCAGAGATGAAGTTGAAAAAAAGATTAAAGTTGCTAATGCTGTCAAAACATCGGGAAAAGATCTCAAGAAGAAAGAAAAAAATCTGTCAACGCAAGCCAAATTTCAAATAATGACATTACGCACAACTAAACAATAAGCATACCAGGATTTGCAAGCTACTCACAAAGAAGTAAGAGAGATGCGAGAGAATGTTATATCAAAAGAAGCACTTCTTAGGCAACTACATAAACGATAATATTATTGGAATAATATAATACTCACAAAGGTGTCAAATACTAAGGAGAAAGAAGAAATCAACGATGCCGAAGAAAAAAAAAATCAATAAAGAAATCACAAACCAAAAATCCACCACTTCGACATCATCGGATGTTAATCAATATAACCTGTTCTTTAGGATTAAAGACAACAGTTGTGATGACACATGGGTGTTGATGAAGATAGTCGTCTTCTTCCTCTACTTCCATTTCCTCATCTCATATTAATGAAATACACTCAACATTCTTTCAAAATCACAACTCCTTATATCAACTAGGTTTCGCATACTCGAAAATTAATAAGTGTCAAGAGAATTCTCTCAAAAAATTGAATAATAAGAAGACATTGGAAGGTTACATACTTTTTGCACAAAAGGAGAACACCCTTAAAACAGGTCAGGCTATGACAGAAATTGACGCAGCTCATGAAAACCTACCAAGAGCTTGGTCATGATTGGAATATTCCCGGTTGAAGAATCAACATAATCAATAGCTCTGCACAAAAAGAACATGTGCAAATCTTGGTGCTGCAGAAAGGAATTACGTGAAAGAGCATTCCAGAAAATAAGCTCGAAATAAATCACAACCTCAATCGTCAACATCCTCTTCACAATTGCCATCATCATCACCATCACAATCACAACCTCAATCGTCGTCAACTGTCCCACAACTTGATGGATATCGTACCAAGTATGACAACCATCATATCTCTTGTCTCCCCAATCTTTATATTCTCATCCCCTTGAATGTCCAAAAATCACAATCATTTATCCTGCCGGTTATGTTAATTGGTACAGCTGAGTTAATTCTCATATAAAAGGGGCATGCTCATAGAGGTGGTGGTAAGGTGAGGAGTAGCATAGAAGATATTGTACTGTTGGAATGATTAATGAATACTGATCCTCAAAAACTTGTATATGGTGTTTCCAACAGACTAGGCTTGCACAATCCTGTGGAATTATCAATGACAAGATCACTAGTGTCAAAGTACATGGTGCTGTTGAGTGCATCAACCCATCATGTATTTCGTTTAAATGTGGCTGCACTACAAAGCCTTGGGATCCTCATTCAGCAACTGATGTGGCTATTGAGACTGCTCTCAACTTCTCATCCCACTTTACCACCCTTCTTCTCAAGAGCCCATACACCTACACAAACCATCAACACCAGTCGATATATACTGAACAACACTCCTTTAAGACATTTTCAATATCGAAAAGACCCAATGGAAGTCTATCCTAAGTCAGAGAGAGATTTAACAATGTGGTTGACAATTAATTTTGCTACTTGTCGACTAATAACTGCATGTTTATATGATGAACGTAAAAAACCTTGGTATTAAGAAAATTAAATTTTCTAAGGTTAATTTGCGGCGGACACACCAAATTACATTTTACATTAATAATAAAAGAAAATATGACTTGATATTATTATCGGATTTGTTAACAATTCATTCAGAATACAAATATTTATTGAATCATGTAAAAATGTTTGAAACTATTAATGGATGAAATATTAGCATTTTTTACACATTATAAAACAAAATTTAAAATAGTAGCTGACGAGAAGAATTTTAAAGTTGAAAAAAGAACTATGGGGAAATGTTTGAAAATCAATAGTTAATTTTGTAATTAATTTATACACTGCCTGGAAGAAAGTATCGGAATCTCATTTTTTATTAATCACACAAAAACCTACATAATAACTATAAATAAAATTTTTTATATCATCATGTAGTTTAGATCTTGAAGAATATTTATATAAAATCCCACTCATATTTATTTTTTGGTTAAAAAAAAAAAATAATCATCAAATTTTAAAACATAGAAAATAGAAACAAAAGTTAGTATTTAGTTGGCTATCCATTATTGGATATGCATGCCTCGATTCTTCTTGGCATGCTTTCGATTAATTTGTTATAAACTTCTTCAGGAGTGTTAGACCATTCCTCTTGCAAGGCAATCTCCAATTCTTGAGCATTTTTGGGATAATTTTCACGTTATTTTAATCTTCATCCCAAAGATGCTCAATTGGATTGAGATCAGGAGATTGCGATGGCTAATTAGACAAAATGTTTATGTTGGACATTTTTTTTGCAGTATGCACTGGTGCATTGTCATCCTGAAATTTGTATGCTCTACCACCAAATTTTGTTCTTATTAAAAGGCAACAAATTTCTTAATTATTTTTAATAACAAACTCTTTACTAATAGAAAAGGCAAAATTTCGACCAATCATTCTCTAGAACTTAAACTACAAAATAACAAAAATACAAATTCAAAAAATATCCAAAAATGAAAATCGCGAATTTGATTGAAGTTTGTTTTTTTTTAAACCAAAAAAATAAATATGAATGATAGAAGCGTAGGATTTTATATAAATATTCTTCAAGACATAAGCTACATGATGATATAAATTTTATTTATAGTTATTATGTAGGTTTTTGTGTAATTAAATAAAAACGATGTTCTGATAATTCTTCCCGGCAGTGTATATGATCTAATAAATAATAACAATTATTATATATTTGAATAATTTATTAAATAAATACATTCTATTTCCTTCTAAATCATTCATTATCTTTGTTTCATCATCAATGCCATCATCATTTTTTGTAATCATTGTCATCATTTCCATATAAGTCACCATCAACTTTTACAAAATATTCGATAATACAATTATCGGAATTACTGTATTCGTCAAATGACCATGTTAATAGAAATTCTCCAGTTTCATTATGTTTAACTTTGAAATCAAATGTGTGTTTCTCAGTATCTTCCTCCTTCAAGGTAATTGGTTCCATAATTCTATACAACAAAATACATTTATATAAGTATTTACATACTAATACATGTATTTATTTCCCCTTCTAATAATACTTACGTTTTTCCATTAGACTCATCAGAACGATCACCGTCATCATCACCAAATTTAATAAATTTTACTTGAAATTTAAGTTTGCCCTTGCCTTCAACTTTTCTAAAAGCAATTTCTACATTAATTTGATCCTTTTCTTCTGTTGACGGTGTAATAATAACTTCATAAGTTTTAGAATCGCCTTTCAGAATCTGGATCCTATAATTGTAGCCATCTCTCCTGGATTCAAGGGGTATAAGTGAAGGTGGAGCTGATGTTGATGGAAGTGTTTGTTGTAATGAATTTTGATCTTTTGTAAGTGATTGAATATTTCCCAAAACTACTGATGGAACGCATCCGCCTAAACAATAACAACAATAATAATGATTATTTTATAATTTTGTATTTGTAAAATTTGAGAAAAGAAAGAAAAAAATAATAACCTGCTAAATGTGAACAAGTACATTTTCCACCTAGGAATGCAGGTAAATTTTTTTCATCAATATGTTCAAGCAAAGTATTTTTGAAATCTTTTCCACATATATGAACTTTTTTCAGCATTCCAGGATCCAACCATTTTTTTACCAATGCCCAAATTTTTACAAACATAAAAGGTGCATTGACAACAAATAATCTGCCCAATCTTTCCGGATAATAACTTTGATCTATCTCTGCTATTGTTCTATACAAATATAACGCTGGCATATGTAGTTCTACAATATATACAATCACGCATACAAATGTCAATGGAAATCTTTATTTTAATATGTAAATATATATTTATAACTTACGATGAAATCCCATCCCCTCACAGTCAAATATTACTGTTTCCTTATCAATCAACCTTCCAACTCTTCTACTTAATTCTGGCATAAGAACTTTATGTGAAAATTCTTGACATCTGATATGCCAGTCAACTAATTCTTCTGATTTAATATACTTGGCTAATCCTTTAGCATCATGATAACCCTTTAATTGATTAAAAGATGTCATTATAACACGGTCAAGCGTTATTGTGATCGTATATTTTAAATAAACCTAATCTAAATAATATTACCAATCTTTCGATATAAACGCTTCTTCCATCTTTATCAATTTTATGAACAGCATTCCCACCAAAATATTTATAAATTCTAGGAAGATAGTCAGGAACACCTTTAACAATTTCTACATTTGTATCATTTATGAAAGGAGCAAGTCCACGTATAGGATAAAGTAATGGTGTACCAGGGTTTAGAACTGGTAAAGGGATTGAGTCTATTTTTTGTTTTTCTCTCCACTTCATAGCCTCTTCAAGTTGTTGTTTTGCCTTTTCCTAAAGATTAAAAAATAATATATATTATACATGTATATTTATTTTGAGAGAAGAGTCCATTATTTTATTTTATATTATTATATTATTAATTGAAAATTTAATTCTTACCAAGTTAAAACTTTTAGCCACTGCAAATCGGATCAATGTCTATTAGACAAGAATGATTCAATTAATTTTTAAAAATTATTATCATCAAATGTGATTATCTTCTTTACTCACAGCGTTATCATATTTTTCGTTCCCTGCTCCCAATATCTTTCTAAAATTTTTAACAATTTCTTCTCTTTTCTCTTGATTCAATTCTAATGTCGATGAATCATCACCATTATTATTGTTAGTCTTGGAATCATTGCCATTATTTTGAGTATCAGGTGATAACGTCGAAGTTATTGATGATTTCAAAGATTTAAACATTTTTATTATTAGAAAAATTATTCAAAAATTATTGCCAAGATTTTCATCCATTTTATTTATTTTCCCGTATTATTATTGTATTATTTTAGTGGTATATTTGCATCATAGTTGATGTCAAATTATTTGTAATAAAGAAGTTACAGGGTTCAAATTTGGTTAATTTATTTGTTAAATTGATCATAGGACATAATAATAATTACCGCAGTTCGTTTTAATATCCACGAAATAAATTTATTTTATTTCCCGGCTTTCCCAATAGATATTTATAACATATGCCTTTTTTTTTTAATATTTTTATATAAAGGGACATTATTAAAAATATTACAAATTCGTCGATGCATAAAATCATACATAATAATAATCAGGAATTCAGTTAAAACCAGCTTTAGGAATGGTAACAATACCACAGGTTTGGGTGAATATCTTTTAACGGGGGATTTTTAACTTTTGATGTATTATTGAATTGTCTATTATGAAACCAGTCTTTCCAAGTTGAAATTTGCGATCCCATTCCTAAATCGTGTTTCTGTTGCTTTTGTTGGCAGTCAAAGGAAATGTTCAATCAAAGGAAATTTTCATATATCGATAACGTTTTTAAAATAGTTAGTTCATTATTTCATAATAATATCTCCAACTTCTTTATGATATAAAGTGAAGCTACACCCATTAAAGCTTTCCAACAAGTATTTTTCTACGTTGAAAACAACTATCTACATAAAGCTATGTTTATTCAGACATTGTGTATAATTTTACATTCTTTTTTGAATATTGCTTAAAAGACCTAATGAATATTCCAAGCTTTATATGTGTATTAATTCATCGGTTGTTTATTATTAATATTAAAGCTAAAAAAAAAACAGGACCTTGAATATGCCACAACCAAAATGAGAGAACTTGTAAATACTGAAGATATGAAATTTCGATATCTTTCTCTGTAAGAACTTTTCTCTTTATCTTCTCAAATGGTCAATTTAATTCTTTTCGTTCATCAAATATATACCTTTTCATTTTTAAAATTAAACCATTATTGACAATTTGTTCCACTGTCATCTAATATGTTTGATCTATACGCTTTTCTCATTTTTCAACTAATATCTGAACATTTAAAAGCTACTAGCAGATGGTCTTTATGTTCTATTCACTGAAATTCAAAAGAAAAAACGGAAAATTATTTTAAAAAAACCAATAAATGAACACCTATTACATAAATTTAGGCGATGGCATACTTTCTACAAATTAATAGATTGTTGTGGATTTTGAATGGATTACGAGAAACAAGCTTATTTCAATTATTATAATTAGAATTTTTTTAAAAAAAAATCTCTTAAACGGTCATTCTTTAATGGATGGTAACACAAATTAAAGGTTTGATCGTCAATTTAATGATCAACAAAGTAAAAACAGTCTTTTAAAGAAGATTTTACAAATACCACAAGGACAACAACCGGATTTTTATTTATAGATTAATCGGCTGAATTTCAAAGATCATTTTCATATCAGAAAGAAAAAATTTTTTATATCAGAAAAATTTTATCGGCAATCAATAGCCGATTAACCGCCTATAAAGGTTCTAATTTCCAGAATCGATTTCCAAATTTGTGCACGTGTATTACTGTATTAAATTTCTATCGTTTGATCGACGGGACCACCAATTAAATTTTCTTTTAAATTAATTATAATTTGTGATATTTTTAATCAAAGTATTCTTATAAATATTTAATCGATTCAATTAATGAACATATTAAAAAATAATCGATATTAATTAATACATAAAAATTTTTCTCAAAGTTGTTAATATACTTCTCTTTTTTATTTCGTAAAATAATTTAAAAAATTCAAAGATGAAAAAAACTGAATTATTAAATAAATTAAAGCTGTTGATTGAATCAATCTATCCAAGATATGATTTATTATGTAAACCAATTTCACCTGAGTTTGGTAATAAACTAATTAGAATTAATAATATATTAAGTGAATTACTTGGAACATTAATATTAATAGAAAATTGTGCCAATTGTAATAAAGAAATAATAAAAAAAAATAAGGTTTATATTATTTATTTATTGAATGAATCAATTGATGCATTAAAAGAACTTTCAAATAGATTAGAAAAAAAGAATGAAAAAGAAAGTGAAAAGTTAATTAGGGAGTCATATATAAATTTATTTCTCACAGATGTTGAATTGAATAAAGTTATATTATGCAATAGTTCTAAAGAAAAGGCAATTGAGAACTTGAAGGTTGAATATGGAAATAAAGAAATAGCCAAGTTTTTTTATGAATGTAAAATAAATAGATTTATGGATAGTTATATTGAATGGATTCCTTTTAATGAATTCAAGGATATTGAATATTTAGCTAAAGGTGGTTTTAGTGAAGTTCATAAAGCAATATGGAGCAATCATTGTTCAAGTTCTGAAATAAAGGTGGTATTAAAAAGATTATATAACTCAAATGATAAAATCATGGATATTTTAAGAGAGGTAATATTAATTATTGTAATATAATATTATATAATAAAAAATATTGATCATACTTGTAATTTTTAGTTAAAAGCAAATAGTAAAATGGGTGATTATGTTAATGAATGTTTTGGAATTACAAAAGATCCAGGCACAAATGAATATATGTTAGTATTTGAATATGCTAAAAATGGAGATTTACATAATAATTTATCAAAAAATTTCAAGGAAATTACTTGGGAAAATAAAATTTATTCACTTTATTGGATTTCATCTGGGTAAGTTTTATAAATTTTATTATTCAATTAAATTTTCTTTTTATAAAATTAACCTTATACATTTATTATTAAATAAATTAGATTGATGATAATTCATGCAAATAATCACATTCATCATGACTTGCACAGTGGCAATATTTTTTCTTATCAAATTATTAGCAAAATAGGAGATTTAGGATTATGTCAACAATTAATGAATAAAAATGGGAATCCAAATGAGATATTTGGAGTCATTCCATACCTGGCACCTGAGGTATTATCAAGTAAACAATATACAAAACAATCAGACATTTATAGTTTTGGGATGATTATGTGGGAATTCACCACTGGTAAAAAACCTTTTCATAATGTGCCACATGATCATCATCTAATGATGGATATTCTTGGAGGAGCAAGACCTAAAATCACCAAAGACACTCCTGAATTCTATGCTGAATTGATGAAAAAATGTTGGGATTCAAATCCAGAAAATAGACCAACTGCACAGGAAATTTATGATTGTTTCTGTAACTATTCTATTAGGCCTTCTGAAGAAAGTAAGAAAATCATTGAGTTAGCTGAATCAAAACGTCAAGAGATCATCAAATCAGAAAAATATCTTTCAGGAGCAAAAAATTATAAACACCATTTAGATGCATTTTATACAAGTCGCCCACTTAATAAATTAATTGAGCAGGCAAATTTACAAAACAAATTGAGTCAACAATCTACTATATCAATAGATTATGATGATGATTCATCAAGTAAAAAAATTCAACCAAATTCTTTAATTGGATGTAATTTAGAAAGTGATGCTTCAGTATTTATGCCAATGCATAATATAAATGATAATGGCAGTGATGTTAATTATGTTAGGAATTTTAATGGTGACAATGATGTTGGGAGTTGTAGTGGCGGTGGAGGCATTATTACTGGTAGTGGTAATGATAAAAGAAAGCAATCAAAAAAATTAAAAAATATCTTTAAAATATTTTTATAATTTATCAAACTTAGAATCTACAGGCCTTGCTCAAATAAATTCCAAACAAAGAAATCTTTACAGATGATTTATAAATGATGATGGAATTGAAATTGATAATGATCTTGAAATTTCCAATGAACAGTTAATAGATGTTGATGATATCAGTGTTATTGAATCTAGATAATACAAATAATTTAGCAATTATGGCTCTTCCTGTTCCAACAAACTTAACCAACTGTCAAAAACAGCCTTTGATGTTTATTGGAATTTTTCAACCTACTATTAACATATTTGAATAATGATGCTGTGTTATTTCCTAAATCATTATAAAGATTTTCAAAAATATTTAGTATGCAAAAAATGTCACATTATATTAGAATGAAATTTTTCCTAATGAACAAATTCAAGATCAATGCCCCAAAAATGGATGCTTAAAAGAAAGGATTAGACTAACAAATGAGATTATATCTTTAAACCCATTAAATATATCCTTATAATTCATTAATTGAAAAATCAGGAGCTTATTAAGGTAACTTAATTTTAATTGGAGTCCAAAGAATTCTTCTAAATGAAAATGTAGACATTGGACATAACAAGATTGTAAATTTCTAAAAAATGCAGAAGATTTATGTGGGTAAATGTATTATTTCACCAAAGATGCACTATTATCAACACTTAAAGAATGTATATCATTCTAGTATTATTATTATGAAGGTTGAATGGTATACTTTCTAAGTATGAAACTTCAAAAAGAACAATTTCCAGTTGAAATTATGTCATTAATCAATGAATAAATAAATATTAAAAGCAGAGTTAATCAGCTAGACGAAAATTCAGATAACCCACCATATTCAAGAATCATCTACAATATTAAATTCATCACATAAACCAGACGAATAATTATTAGAATTTATTATTTGTCAATAAAATTTAGAAAATTTAAATTCCAAATGGTTCAGAAACAATTAATTCTGAATTACAAAAACCAATTAAAGGATCCTACCTTAGTGATGCACTTTTAGACTTTTTAACATGAAGAATCAAATCTAAAATTTTGTTCAGCCTCTAATATCTTAGACAGCCCAGATGATTTGTTTATAAGTACAACCATTGAAAATCATCTACAATCAAAAATTGGGGATAAATTTTTGGTTCTAAACTGATGATATCAGAACTGGACTCATATGTAATTGCTAAATTTATGAGTGTAGCTGATTATTATTTTAAACATTCAATTAAGTTTCCAAAAAAATCTATTATTGATGATGAATCAGATCATAATGTTTTCTTAGTTTATCATTAATTTACTTTAGTTGGTTGGTTGATATAAATCTCATGAAAGTAAAGATTATTTATTCCCTATTAAAGAAAGTTCAAATAGCAGCAAAAATGTATAATGTTAAATTATAGGATGAAGTCTTTGTTAAAAGAACTAGAGAATGTATTTACCAATACATATACTGGTATGTAAATTTGAGATATATATTCTTTCAAAAAACTTGACTGTTAGTTATACCTATAAAAGAAGATTCGTTATTTAAAATATCATACCTTGAGAATAACAAGGCTACAAAATTTCAAATATTGCTAATTTGATATAACGAAAAGTTTTACCATTGAAAAACTTCTAGCAAAATATTGCCAATATTTATTAAAGTTTTGCAGACTTGCTTAAAAGCATATAGAAATTAAACAAATAAAAATTTGACAAAAACAATTTAAGCTTTGTCAAATTTAATTTTTCTATCTGTGTCATGGAATTATGTGCTATTAATATCAAACTAAAAAAATCTAGCAAAAGACAAGTCCTGAATATGCCACAGCCAAAATGAGAGAATTATGAATGCTGAAGATACGAAACATTGATATCTTTCTCTGCCTAGGAATTTCTCCCTTTATCATCTCAAATGGTCAGCCATTATTTTCGTTATTATATAATCATGCTTATCTTTTCATTTTGAAAAAAAGAAAATTTTCTTATTCTTTCCATGCCCGTTCCTGCAATCAATTATTTACGAAGAAAATTCCTTTTCAAGCCAAAATGAGTATATTCCAATTTGACTTCAACCGTTTTGTTTTTTTTTTTCAAAGAATAAATCGATAAACAAAAGTGCGCAAGATTAAACATCCCGCAGATTAAATATTAGTCTCTGATAAAAAAATTTAAAACTTACCGGTTACCATTTCATTGATGATTAATTTATAATTAAAAGGAAATGGGATATCAGTTTCTCTTTCTTACGAAACCTTGTAGAAAATCAGGACAGAATTAGTTGGTGTTATACTCTATATGCTTACCATTGGCATTGTCGCTTTCATCAATGTGGTATACTTCAAAAAGTGAAGAATAGGCAAAATATTTTGTAGTGGCATTGAATATTGTTTATTGCACCATTAAAAATTATTATTATGGGAATATTATTGTAACAAGATGGGTTAATTTATATTAATAAAGCTATGTTTATTATTGCTTTTCCAATAATTCTGGAAATATCGTTGACAGTGTTATTGGGCATTAATGCCCTATCACCTGTCATAACAATTATATTTGTGAATGTAGGTATTGATGTTGTGCGTGGAAATCAAATTTGTGTCAATTTAATTAAATTTTGGGGTGGGTGCTTGAATTTCACGCGCGTGAATTTCAAATTGACAGATTCCAAATTCACACACAACATTGAAATATCTAAATTTATTATTGATTGTTTGCTTGATTTTCGCACTATTTTCTAGAGTATGAACTCTTCTGGACAAATGTAATATAGCACATACATGATTAATTGCATAAAATTTTTTTCGAATAGCTTTTTATTTAGAGACTGTACTTTAAAGAATTTTTGTTTCTGATGCACATTCTCTTAAATTATTTATTGTTTCAAAAATTTCAATCATAAACTTGTCATAAAGGCACGACACATAAATGCCATATGACATTGCTTCCTGATAAATTCAAAGAAATGACTGCACAATAATAAAAGGGATTGTATCATAATGGAAGCTTAGTTGCCGGTGGCGTTGCTTTGTATTTATTAGTCGCCAATCTTGGACATATCCAGAAAAGGGCGAGTTTTTAAGGCCAAATGCTTGTAAAATAAAAGGTTACATATTAATAGGAATTAAAATTAATGGTATTTACACTATTCATAGCTCAGACATACAAGTATTTATTCCTAATCCAGAAAATAAGCCTACGTTAACCACATTAACAGAAAGAATTGTCATGATAAAAAATATTTTTTCCACAAAAAAATAGATTTATTTGATTTATTGATTTATTTAAAATACTTGCACAAACTAATTACTGTTTTATTATTCTTATTAAAATTAGGACCACCATAATCATTTGGTCTTTTTGTTTATCTCTGCTTTGTTTTTCTGTAGTCATTGTCTCTCCAGTTCATCCAATGGTAGCAATGCTGATGATGATTTTGCTGTATTATTCAGTTCACTTGATGGTAGCTATGTTGATGACGATTTTGGATCACTGTTGTATGTAGTTCACTCAACATAATTAAAAATCTTGATGTAACAGATTGAGGTCCAAGAATGGTTTAATAATAAAACTATAATTCTTAATATAACGTATTTCTTGGTATAATTGATTTTTGGAAAATTTTCTCTAATTGCCCAAATTATTCACTAACCAAGATTCACTGTGTAATATAATAATTTTTTCCTAAAAAACATTTTTTTTAATTTTAAGGGTAGGGTAAATCACGCGATAACTTAATAGAAAACCCAATTTTTTTTACTTATTACTTTCTCTGTACTATTATATAATATTATATATAGAAAAATTAAAGTAATGAAAAGAATAATACAATGAACCCTCCATAAGTGCACCCTTGGGAATGGATGAGAGCGTGCATTTATGGAGGGATGCATTTATAGAGGGGAAGAATTTTATTGGTTGCATGTGATTACTAATAAAAATTATTTTAAATATTTTTTTAATTAATATTATATTACATATTATGACTAAAAAATTGTTTCGTTATGGTTTGCTTCATTGATTTTTTTTTTAATTAATGTATCGCTCAAGGGCATTAACTTGTCTTAATTGTTCTTTAGAATCTTCTTATGTTACTTTTATTAAACATAAATTTTAAAAAAAATTCGTGATCCTTTATCCTTTAATTTTTTTAATTTCGCGTATATATAATTTTCTCCGTTTGTGTTTTTTATCATTATTATTCTAATAACTTTTTGTCAATTAAAAAGAAAGAACTAGCAAACATTCATTTAATCCTTTAAAGCAACAGTAGCTTACTTAATCCTTTATTTTCTATGTGATTAATTAACGTAACACAAATTTATTTAGCAAGTAAATCATGTGAAAGTCACGGGAGAGGGCAATTTTATATAAAGGGGATGGGAGAAGTGCAGAGTATGGAGGGTGTGCATTTATCTCTAATTCTCGAGGTTGGGAATGAGACATAGCGTGCATTTATGGAGGGATGCATTTATAGAGGGTGCACTTATGGATGGTTTACTGTAGTTGCTATTTTTATTTATTTATTTATAAACCTCGTTATCAATAAAATTATAATAATAATAGCTATTTCATTATGATAGTATTTAAATTCATTAATAAGTTATTTTAAGTAAAGTATCCACTACATTTGATTAAAAAAAAATTATCATCATAACTTAAATAATTATAGGGATTCATTGCCTATTACTGTCCTGTTTTTTTTGATACGTATACAAAATAGTGTTTTTGAATTAGAATAAATCAAGATTATTTATTTCCGAGAATTTGACTATTGAAATACTCCAACTACAACTTATCAACATCAATGAATGAATGCAATGAATATTTGCCAGTCGCTAATTACTATCTTAAAAAATGTTTAAATGATGATTAATGTCTTGCAATTGAATAAAAATATAAAATAAACCCCATTATTTCTTTGTTCTCTGGGCACCAAAACGTAATAATTAGATTTGTAAACTTTACTACTATAACCATTACGTATTTATAAACATTATGCATTGGTGTTTCTTTAGATTCACTGAATTTAATTAACGTAGTACTTATTTAAAAAATACAATTCAGTTAGGATTAACAGTTCGTTAAATAAATTACTTGAATAAAAGTAAAAATAATTTAGAAGAATCTGACAAGTTAAAGAAGAATAATTTATATGAAAAATGACCAAAAATGACTGTGATAATATTTGCAATTTTATACAATGAAGATTGGTTATTGAATGGATGACGATTTACCTAGTAGAATATTTTTAAATATTAATGGTGGTGCTTGATTTGCTGATTACATAATGATTTGTTGAGTTAAAGTTGAAGAGGCATAAAATTCTATATATCCACATAAACACAAAAATATGTAAAATAGCCATTGAAATCCATATAGATTTTACATGTGTCTTTGTGAGCATAATTTGGATGCGCATATTCTCTTTATAATTACCATCCATCTATCTATTTACCAAATATACAATATTTAGAATGTAAAAACCCGACCAGGCTCTCACAAGGAAGGACTGGAAGGAGAGAAAATCGAAGGCAAAAATTAAGAGATTGCAGGAGGAATTAATTGCAACGAGCGTAAATTAGCAAAATAAAGATATAAAAAATCATTCCATTTTATTCATACTATTTGACTAACTTGTGCTTTCATGCAAAATTCAATTAAGTGATAACAAAAAAAATAAATGCTATTTGTTTTTAATATTAATAATGAATACAAAAATGAATAAATTATAAAAACATTTTTAACTGCTACTATCATTAACATCATCTCTATTAATAATGCCTACACCACCACTATTCATAAGCATTGGCATAAATACTGAAGCATCACTGTCTAAATTATATTCAATTAAAGTGTTTGGTTGAATTTTTTTACTTGATGAGTCATCATAATCTATTGATATGGTAGATTGTTGACTCGATTTATTTTTCAAATTTGCCTGTTCAATTAATTTACTGAGTGGTCGGCTTGTATAGAATGCATCTAAATGGTGTTTATAATTCTTTTCTTCTAAAAGATATTTTTCCGATGTAATAATCTCCAATAATCTTAGCTTTTTCTTTAGATGGGAAATCATATTGATGTAAACAATTTTCAATTTCACTAGCAGTTGGTCTATTTTCTGGATTTGAATCCCAACATTTTTTTCATCAATTCAGCATAGAATTCAGGAGTGTCTTTGGTAATTTTAGGTCTTGCTCCTCCAAGAATATCCATCATTAGATGATGATCATCTAGTACATTATAAAAAGGTTTTTTACCAGCGGTGAATTCCCACATAATCATCACAAAACTATAAATGTCTGATTTTTTTGTATATCGTTTACCTGATAATACTTCAGATGCCAAGTAAGGGATGACTCCAAAGATCTCATTTGGGTTCTCATATTTATTCATTAATTTTTGACATAATCATTACGCTATAATGATAATTGTATGAAAAAATATTGCCACTGTGCAAGTCATGATGAATGTAATTTTTATTATGAATAACCCTTAATCTAATTTATAATTATAATAAAATGTATAAAGTTAATTTATAAAAAGAAAATAAAATTTAATAATAAAATTTAAAGCTTACCCCTCTGAAATATCATAAAGTGAATGAATTTTATCTCCCCGAGTAATTTCCTTGAAATTCTTTGATAAATTATTATGTAAATCTCCATTTTGCCCTTGGCCGGGGAATTCCTTTTGACGAAAATCTTGCTTAGGGGAATTTTTTATCAGTAATATAGGCTTTGTTTTTTATCTTTTCCTTTTATCCTTAACATTTCGGTGAGGAATTTTTCGCATTTCTTTTTGTTGAAGACCTTTTAGTATATGCAAATACCAACATATATTCATTTATGCTTGGATATTTTGTAATTCCAAAGCATTCATTGATATAGGTACCCATTTTATTATTTGCTTTTAACTAAAAATTATCAATAATTATAAATATAATTAATATTAACAACATTATATAACAATAATTAATATTACCTCTTTTAAAACATCCATAATTTTATTGTTTGAGTTGTATAATTTTTTTAATACTACATTTATTTCAGATAGACAAATAAATGGGGATGATAATTAATCCATATTGCTTTATGAACTTCACCAAAACACCTTTATTTAAATATTTAATATCTTTGAATTCATTAAAGGAAATCCATTCAATACAATGATATGGCTATTTTTTTTTACATTCATAAAGAAACCTTGCTATTTCTTTATTTCCATAGTCAGCTGTTAGGTTTTCAATCACCTTTTCTTTACAACTATTGCATAATAGAACTTTATTCAATTCAACATCTGTGAGAATTAAATTTTGATATGATTGTTGAATTAACTTTTCATTTTCATTTTCATTCTTTTTTCCTAATGTATTTGAAAGTTGTTTTAATGCATCAATTGATTTATCCAAATAATTCATAAGATTATCATCATCTTCCCCTCTTTCATCACAATCAGCGCAATTTTCTAATGTTTCGAGTAATTCTTTTAAAATATTATACATCCTAATTGGTTTATTACCAAATGTAACTGGAATCGGTTTACGTAATAAATCATCAGATCTTGGATAGATTGATTCAATCAACAGTTTTAATTTATTTAATAATTCAATTCCTCCCATTTTTAAATACTTTAGAAATTTTTTCAAATGATTTTACGAGAAGTATTATTATTATGTATCACCAAATTCGTGAAAAACAAATTGTATATCATGTCACTTCTAACGTTACGGTATAATGATAATAAAAAGGTTCAATGTGGTTTTAAAATAATTTAGTTGGAGATCGGAAATAGAAAAATGGTAGAAAACAACAGGAGGAGGAAGAAAAATAAACTTTGTTAAAACGCAACTTTAAATTATATGTCCTTATTCTTTAAATTTAAATTAAAAATTCGGAGCCTTGTGTGAAGGTTAAGGCGGAGAGGAGAATGCATCCTACCGACAAGGTGAAAGATTAAAATTTTGCTTTTTGAACCATCTTTAAATGATATTGTTTTGAATTGACTAAAATATAGTTTTGTTTTAAACCTTTTATTTTAGTATAAAAAATAGATTATAAATCACTTTTTAAATTATTAAAACCTCGTGTAACTAACAATAATCTAGGCCAAATTAAATGTGTTAAAAAAAAGTTTCACCTTTTTTCTTTCTTTGATATTGGATTCTTTAAAGCTTATTCATAAATAAAAGTGATCTGTCGAAAACCGAATTAATTTGGGATCCATATTGTTTTAGGTGTGAGTTACAAAAAAGCAGTAAATTGAAATAAATTATTTTTACTTTATCAATAAAGAATATGTTCTATTAAGGTGTTAAAACGTAAATTCATTTTTTTATTTTATAAATTTGGACTTTTAATTGAGGAAAGATTCAAAACTGTCATGATTGCATTAAGTCGTCATTATATAATGAGATGTACTCATAATACACATAATTAAAAGAATATAAAAATTAAATAAAATAGTAATAATCTCTAATTAAATATTAATCAACTTAATAAAATTAAGGTCGAAGAAACAAACAACATAAACCAGGATGATGCAATTACTAACTACTCAGAGAAGTTGCCGTTAAAGTTGTTGTCAGCCAAACTAAATAGAAGGTCTAATAATCTTTTATTATTTTTTGATTAATTTTATATAACTTTCAATTTTAAAATTACAAATTAAATAATTCAAATCTTTTTCAGTTCAAAGGCTATAATTCTATACCCATCATTATTATTGAATGTTGGTTTAATTGTAATGGATTTAATAATGTTCGATCAAACAAGTGTAAATTATATTATGAACATCCTTTATTCACCTAAAATCAAATCGTAAATTTTCTAAACCATGTTCTTAAAATGTATTCAACAATATTAAGAAAAGAATAATATATAATTTCATGTTGATTATAGTAGCATATTCAATATTACTACAACTATTATTACTACCAATGTTGAAGGTTGTTATTGTAATTATTGCTAAATAAAAATTACTAAATCTATTGAATCATGTCAACAACTTTTGATTTGTACATTGTTAAAAATAAATGGCTCATAAAGTTTCCACTCCTATTTTGATGAACTTTACATTATATTTGGTTTAATCGAATGACCAGCTTTTAAAGAAGTTCCTCGAGTACTGTATCAACGGGCTTATGTAGCATTAAGTTGGATTTTCCGTTTCTATTAATTAACAATCTCATTTTTTAATTTCAACTCATATTATTAATAATAATGGCCATTGTCATTATTCTTCTTAAATGATAGTGGATATTATTTAAATTCATTAATAAGTTATTTTAAGTAAAATATCTGCTACATTTGATAAAATTTTAAAAAACCCGCCATCATAGCTTAAATAACATAAATAACTTGACGTATTACTATCATATTTTTTTACAAAATAAAGTGTTAATCAAGATTTTTTATTTCCGAGAATTTGACTTTTGGACTCATTCAAATATTTCAACTACGACTTATCAACATAATGAATGAATGCAATGAATTGGATTTTGTTAAACATGTCAGAAGAAGAAAAGAGGATGGATGATTTGTTCTGTAATCACCAATTTTTTAATATGATTTTGATATTCCATCATCTTTTTTATAGAATGTAAAAGCATCATTGTCATTATTTAAAAAACGACCTTTTAAAAATCTTGACCAACATCGTGATGCAATAGTGAAATTGGATATCCTGGATCACCTTTTCTATTTTAACAGTTGATCCGTCACCTGAATTTTAATACAAAGTGTCAAAATCCTTCTTTCTTCCTGCAATCTTTCCATAATTTTTCTATGAATATGGCACATTTCTGGAGAAAACAAGGAATTTTAATCACGGATTCATTTTCTTTACAGGACTGCGTTCAACCAGTTGTCTAGTATTTATTCTTTAAAAAAGAAATTCTGAATGAAATTCTCGAGGTGCATATTTCTTAGAAGAATGATGGTTATAGGTTTAAAAAAGATTAAGTTAAAATTTATATAAAATATTTAAAAGAAATTGACTTAATATGCTTAAAAGGGGTATTATCAAACTCAAGAAACCAGCGGATTATAAAAGAGAAGAATCAAATTCTCAGTTTGTCCAGGTTGCTTTACCCCTATAGAAAATAAACATACGGAATGTATAAGAATTTCCCTATTTACTATTACTATATTTGATACGGAATAAATTTTTAGATACGGAATGGGTGTATTTAATCTACGTTTTGAAATTTATCAATGTAATACAATTTATGGATGTATACGGAAAATGTGCGAAAAATGCATGGAATTAAGAAAATTATAATAATAATACTGAAAAGGTACGTTTTGATTCCGCATATAAGACACGGAATTTGTAACATACTAATACTTTTTGATTCCGTATATAAGTACGGAATTTATAACATACTGAAAGGTACGTTTTTGATTCCGAATATAAGGTACGGAATAGGTACGGAATTGCAACATACTAATACTAATACTAGTCACATCAATTGATTTTCTATATGTGAAAATAAATTCGAAATTCGTGTCACATGAAGTTTTTTTAAAATATCTCGTTATTTTTATAATAAACTCG